AAACTTGATTTCGGACGTTACAAACATAAAGCAAACATGTGTAACATGAGCGGCTACTGTGATTAAGTTAATAATTTCGAATACAGTTCCCCAAAAAAGTACATGTGCATGAACTAAATAAATTCTCATATTGAGGACCGTTGCAGTTGGAAGCATAAAATAAAAGTACTTTTGATTTCTCTTAATGCTAAGGTAAAATTCACAAACTATTTATTCAAATTATTAATTTGTACATATCTATACCTTGACATTGATCACGCTCACCTGGTTCGATGTCGTGCTTAAATTTGATTAATAATGGGAATACTTTGTCTGGCATCCCAGTATAAATATCTTCCTGATTGTTTTAACAATAGTAGGGACAAGGATTGCAATATTGGACGCATGGATTGTAGCACTGGTTAGCGCATGGATAGTAGCATTGATTGATGCACGGATCGATACCTTTACCAAGCTTGGCTAAGCTGTCGAATGGTGGTGCGCAAACCTGGTTGAGAGCCTTTCGTTTGCGCTGCGCATCGGTCAATCCATCGGCCCCAACAACCGGACCCGTCTTGACCTTGGACTTGACTTCAGGCTTGGGCTCATTCGGATTCCAGGGCGTGGGAATAGCGCCATCTTTCATTAAATACTTCATGAGGTCAATACCCTTCTTCCTTCGAGCGATTTCATTCTTAACTGCATCTTTTTCGGCTTGAATAGCTCGTTTAACACCTTCAACGTGGCGCTTAGGCATTCGTACAGGGATGAACGGAGTTGGCTGTGGTTTCTTTTTACCGCCTGGAAAATCTTTTCCGCCTCTACCTCCCCCAATACCCCCAAGTCCACCCATGCCCCCGGGACCACCACGCCCGCCTCCTACGCCTCCTGCACCGCCACGTGCGCCCCCACGCATGGGACCACCTTGCCCGGAGCCCCATATTCCAGGTAGCTTAGGTCTGCCCCCGGGCGAACCTGATGCACCGTGCGGTCCACCGCCCCCATGTCCAAAAAGTCCATCCTCGAATGCAACCTCCCCGGGCTTACCAAATGCTGTTCCAGTGTACCGATCGCCCGCAGCGCAGTCGTAGACACGCCAATAGGGATCGAGCTCGGTTGGATATAGTGGTGGAACGATTTTATCTTTCTCATCTGTTTGCGTACTCAATGTAAAGGTACGTGGCTTAATCGCCAGCTGGGGCTTGCCGACGGCCAATGGGGGTGTCACATCGAAATTGAACTCCATCTCGCTCTCACTGGTGTCCGTTAGGATCAAGCGATCTATGCAGCTTTCCATTCTTCGCAGCTTACACTCCTTCTGCAGTGCCCGTGCCAGATGTTTTTTATCCACGGCGTCCCGGCAGACGCACATCATGACGGACTTGTGGCAGACGCATTTGGGAAAGCCCTTCTGCTTCAGCTTCTTCTTGATCTCCCTGAGTGCGACAGCGAGATCACTCTTGACTATCTTGAACACGATGGGCTTCATCTCCATGTGCGGGCTGTTCACCGCACGCAGAGTTATGTAAATTGCGCCGTTTTTCTTGCGCATATTGAGGATCGATGGCTGTATGCTCCTCTCGTCCTCTTCCGCTTCCTGACAGGTGTTAAAGGCATTATTTTCCGCTGAGCATAAGAAAAATCTCATTACGGCTCCGGCATAGCGGCAAATAGCTCCCGGGCGCCAGCCGTATTTGCGAGCCTTCTTGGTCGACGGCCACGCCCAGCCGTGGCGTCTGGATACATTGAGCTCCTGCCTCAAGCAAGTCTTGTGGCCAATCTTCGGCCCATGCGGCATGCGATGCATAAAGGTTGGACTTCCGGTCACCTTTACGATGGCACCCGTCGATGACTTTTGGGTCAGCATATGCGAGCTGTTCTGGGATAGTTTGAGCTGCAAGAGATTCTGCGCGCAGTGCTTATTTAATTGAGCAGCCTTCTTCTCGTCTCTTTTCTTATAAAGATCTCGAAGCTCGGCAAACACTCGCTCCAAGTAAGGGCTGCACGACAGCTGATTGGGCTCGACTATGACACAAAAGTCCTCATTTTCGTTTGGCTCCACTTTGGGACACCCCTCCCCGGCACCAGGGACGGGGCCAAGAATGTCTGCACACATACAGCGGATGCGACAATGGGTGCAATACTGGCCTCCCTTACACGTACACGTTCTCGTACCCAAATTCTCATTCTCATTCTCTTTCTCTTTCTCGTCACTGGCTGGCTCTGCACAGGGATCTTCGCAAAAGTTTTCGGATTGTTTTTTGGGTTGTCTCAGACACTGATTAATGATTTGATCAGCGGTAAGAGGTTTCTCTGAAAGAAGGTCACGCTTGGGCATTGCCTTCGTGTCGCACTTGGGACAGGGCGCGTATTTGGGTAGACATGACATTGAGGTGAGGCACACGGGACAGAAGCGAATGGGCTTTATGCCCATCACTTCAATGTCGCCAAGTGGAACACTTATTGTCCGATCGACATACTTTTGCGTGAACGGCGTCTGTTGACGACTCCAGTCTGTGAATATAAGCTCGTCTTTGGGCAATTTGTTTACTTTCTTCATAACCGAGTCAATTGCAAGACCGCATTGATCTGCCATAGCCTTCAGCAGGGAGGTCGCTTCCAGCTTATAGTTCTCTGTAGGCGGCAGAGTTGCCCGCTCATTGTCGCCGCGATAGCGATTCAAATCCATTCGGAGTCGTTCATCGCCCTCCTCTGTCTCTATCTGCTCTGCACATGGCTCACATACCGATTCACAGGGGTCATTACTGCCAATTAAAAACATAATGTCTGCCTCTTTTATGGCCTTTCCTAGGTTGGTACAACTCTTCTTACAGGGTCTAAGTGAAGCACTAGAATGTCAGTCGAATGCTTTGGTTCAATTATAGGTTGACTTACTCTGTTGTTTCTATTAGGGTCTCACACTTGATGATTAGACTGCAAAACACCTCCAAAGTGCCAGCCACTACATCACGCTTAACTAGAGTGCACGAATCCTGATGATATAGGTCGCTCATGCCGTCCTGAATGCGATCGACGAAGGATTGGGGAAACTTTAATGTTGCAGTTCCCACAGGCTTTCCACTGTAACGCACAGTCATCGGCAATCCCTGCGCCTCGAGACCTTGGCGAAGGATCTCGGGATCACATGTGATTGCTGACTGACGTCCAGCCTTAAAGTCGGTCACGTTTATACGGCTGGGCGTTATGGACATGGGAATGTTATTAAATTTTAGATTAACAATTAGTTTTGATGGATCATCGACTTTTTCCTTGGTAAGCTGCAAGCGAGTTACAATAATGTCGAAAAGGAAGGTCGGTGCCTTCGACTGATGTTCCGACATTTTTAATTTACTATTAAAATAAAAACTACAAAGAATCTAAGAAAATAAAAACTAAAAATATAAGTTAAGATTTGGCACTCCGAAACCCTTAAAAAACTCTACAATAATGAATTAGAATGAATGTATCATGACTTAAAATGCTGTTCGATTCGAATACTATAAATTTCAAATGGAAATACATTTCTGTTT